GACAAAGTCCAACAATTTGGGGATGATGCTCAGCGATTTGGGGACAAAGCCCAACAATTTGGGGACAACACTCAGCAATTTAGGGACAATGCCCAGCAATATGGGAATGATGCAGAGGGAAGGACAAAGCTCAACCTCCCCCTCCTGCAGCCCAACCCCGAGCCCATTCCAAGACCCCAAACCACCCGCGGTGCCCCCCAAGCCCCCGGGGCAGCCGGGGCAGGCTCAATCCCTCTGTCCAGACCCCTCCCCGGGGCCGTGCCCACCCGTGCCAGCCCTCCCGGACCTGCTGCAGGAGCAGCTCGTCCTGAGGCTGCAGCACCTTCGGTGTCCTCTCGGGCTCCTTCCCGCTGCTGCCCGGCCTGGGGGGCTCCCCGCGGGTCCGGGAGGGGTCGGTGCCCTCCGTGCCAGCCTCGGGAAGGGTCCCCTCGGCCTCCATGTCCTCCGAGGACGGGATCTGCCGCAGCCGGGGCTTCTCGCTCGGCTTGGCCACGCGCTGCAGCCCCGGGGACAGTGAGAGCGGGGACGGGGACAGGGAGGGGACGCAGGGGACAGGGAGCACAGAGAGGGGACAGTGAGAACAGGGACGGGACACGGGACAGGGAGGGGACAGGGAGGGGACACAGGGGACAGGGAACACAGAGAGGGGACAGTGAGAACATGGAGGGGGCACGGGACAGAGAGGGGACAGGGAGGGGACACAGGGGACAGGGAGGGGACAGGGAGCACAGGGAGGGTACAGAGGGGGGACAGGGGGACAGATGGGACAGGGAGGGGACAGAGGGGACAGGGAGCACAGAGTGGGGACAGGGAGCACAGGGAGGGGACGGAGAGGGGACAGAGGGACGACACGGGACAGAGGGACACAGGGGACAGAGGGACACAGGGAACAGAGGGACGGAGGGGACAGAGGGGACAGGGAGGGGACAGAGGGGATAGAGAGGGGACAGGGAACACAGAGAGGGCACAGGGAGCACAGACAGGGGACAGAGGGGACAGAGAGCACAGACAGAGGACAGTGAGCCCAGAGAGGGCACAGGGAGGGGACAGGGAGCCCAGAGAGGGCCCAGGGAGCCGTGGCTCACCTTGCCCAGGTGCGTTTGCTGCCGGAGCCTCTCCAGGAACTGGGCGTGGTGCTGCTGGAACAGGAGCTGCTGCTGCTGGATGGCCTTGGGGTTCTGGGGCAGCGGCTCCGAGCGGGTCCTGCCCAGCGGTTTGTGGTGCCCGGGCAGTGCCAGGCGCTCGGCAGGGATCAGGGAGGGGCCGAAGGGGAAGGGCACCGTGCCCAGGCCTGGCACTGCAGGGGAGAGCAAGGACAGGTGAGGGGCACGGGGCAGAGTCTGTGCCCAGGGCGCTTCCCAGAGCCACAGACCCTGCCCGGCTGCAAGGGACCCACCGGGAGCACCCCAATGTTGCAGGTGAGGCCCCAAACACCCCAGTGTTGCAGGTGAGGCCCCAAAACTGCCCCAAAATTGCAGGTGAGGCCCCAAACACTCCAATATTGCAGGTGAGGCCCCAAACACCCCAATATTGCAGAGGAGACCCCAAACACCCCAAAATTGCAGGTGAGGCCCCAAAACCGCCCCAATGTTGCAGGTGAGGCCATCCCAGGTGTGAGCAGGGCGGGACAATCCCCTCCCCGATGCCCCCCGGACAGGGACATCCCTCCTGGTTGCCAGGGAGGAGTCTCTCCCGGTTGCCAACCGGGCACTCCCTGGCACCCCCGGGGTCGGGCAGTGCCCTCCAGCCCCTGGTTCCCAATCCCTCCCTCCTCACCTGCCAGCAGGGGAGCGTGTGTGACCGAGGGCTCGAGGATGATGAGGGGCTGCAGGCGGGGGGACAGGGCCCCGCTGGGCTCGTGCTGCTCCACGGGCAGGAACAGGGGCGGGTGGGTGCCCGGGTGGGTGCCCGGGTGGGTGCCCGGGTGGGTGCCCGGCAGGACGGGCCCGTTCAGCACCGGCACCCGGTGGGCCAGGCTGGGCAGGGGCCGGCGCTCAGACTCGCCCTGGGCCGGGGAGGGGAAAGGAGGAGGAGGAGGAAGAGAGGAAGAAGAAGGCTGGGTCAGCACAGCGTGAGGAGGGGATGGTGCCTGCCCGGGAACCCCAAACCAACCAGGAACCCCAAACCCAGCAGGAGGGGCTTCTCCTGGAATCCCAAACCCAACAGGAACCTCAAACCCAACAGGAACCCCAAACCCAACAGGAACCCCAAACCCAAAAGGAACCCCAAACCCAGCAGGACCCCCAGACCCAGCAGGATTCCCAAACCCAACAGGAGGGGCTTCTCCTGGCACCCCAAACCCAGCAGGACCCCCAAACCCAGCAGGAACCCCAAACCCAGCAGGAAGGGCTTCTCCA